CTTTAGCCATCATTTAAATTTTACTGAGGCTAGGTGTGGTGGCTCTTGCCTACTGAGGCTGGGTGTGGTGGCTCATGCCTATAATCCCAGCACTTAGGAAGGGAGAGGTGGGAGGATCGCCTAGCCCATGAGTTCAAGACCAGCCTGCAGAAGACAGAAGCAGGAGGATCACTTGAGGCCAGGAGTTTGAGGTTGCAATAAGCTATGATCATGCTACAGCACTCCAGCCTGGGTGACAGAGTGAGACTGTGTCTCAAAAGATAAAATAAAATAAAGTAAAATTTATTAAGTATTTACGGTGAGCAAAGGATTTTACTAAGGCAATGGAAGTTAAAAATATGAAACATCCATAGACAATGCCCTTCAGATCTAAATAACTATGACATAAGGTTTAAAAGGAATTAAGGCGGAGTTGGTAGCTCATGTTTGTAATCCCTGGACTCTGGGAGGCCAAGGCGGGCAGATTGCTTGAGTCCAGGAGTTGGAGACCAGCCTAGATAACATGGTGAAACCCTGTCTCTGCCAAAAATGCAAAAATAATTAAACAGGTGTGGTACTGCATGCCTCTAATCCCAGCTACTCAATGAAAAACTTGCACAATTATATACCCTCTGCCTCCCCTTCAAGAGGGGCACCATCAAAAAAGCAAAATACAGAACCAGCTACTAAAGAGTAGAGAATATGGTAGATGCTCTCAAATGACAGCACTTGCTCTTTCCAACCATATTTTGGTTGGTACCCAGGCCTGGGAATCTGACAACGTGAATTCGGTTCTGAGCTCTATCACCGAGCAGTAGTTATCTTATCTGGCACAGCATTTCCCTTTGGAAAATGATTATTTCAGTGGTTCGTTTACAACAAATGACTTTTGGGTGTTAAGAAGCTGATAACTCAAAGAAGAGTTAGTGTAAATTCTGTTATGAAGGGCACAAATTAAAGATTAAAGTAGAAACTGTTCCACGAAAGGTCCAGAAAAGGCTCACCAATAGAAGAAAAAACTGTAAGGCACTGTGGTTAATGTCAGAGCCCTGAAGACAACGCCAGTGCAGGAGCTCAAGGAGATAGGAAGAAACTGAAAGCAGTGCTGAGACAGGAAGGAAAAGCTGATTGTATGCAGAGTATGTTATGGTCTGCTCACAGGCAGTATGCAGCTCTTTTGTGGTTGAGATAGGAACTGGCATACAAGTACAAAGCTACTTACATTTCTCACACAGATTTAGAATTTTACAAAATCCTGGAAGCTAAGTGGGTAAAACTTACCTTAAAAGGGTGACTAGCCAGGTTATTTTCAGGGCAGAGCAACAAGAAGGGATGAACCTTGTCCAAAGAACTTTGTCCCACAGGCTTCTTAGACTATTAAAAGCTACAATCTTCTCACTTTGAGAAGTTCACTGAGCCTGCCTTCTGAACACATAATCACAGCTCAGGGAATCTGACAGTGTAAATCTAAGGCTGACTGCACTGGTGGCAACAAATGTTTCTGTAATCTCACCAACGGCCAATTACAAAAGGGGGTGTGCCACAGTGAAAGCAAAGAACAGTAACACAATTCTATGAAAAAGAGAATCCCAATGACTCAGGTTTTATTTTCCAAACACTTAGGAAAGGAATAAATCAAATGTGCTGTAAATGTTTCTAAATCTAGACACTGTGGGCCACTCTGTACACTACAAGCAGTATTTAAACAGCTATGAAAACAAAGCATGCCAGTAAATAAAAACAGATCTGTGTTTGAAAACATTCAAAATAAAATGCCTAATAGAAATATTTAAAAATTATATTGGAAGTTGAATCTAAAGCAGCAGCTCTGCTGTGAGGCAAATGTTCCCACTCACAGATGTGTGAAACTGTCATAGAAGGTACTGACATAAACAAATATCTGTTGGATGGAGGACCGCACACCTGTAATTTTTATAAATTTTTTTCCTTTGAAAAAGGAGCATTTGTTTTCTGATTAGAGTAATATGTCCTCTTGTAGAATATTTGGAAGATATAAAGACATATGAAGAATATTATAAAAATCACTCATAATTCCACTATCCAGAGATAATCAACTTTTATATTTTCGATACATTTTCTTTTACTTGTGCTTATGTATGCCTGTTCTTTAAAAAATTGTGACTACAGTAAATATGCAGCTTAAGAGACAGCTTTTAAAAGTTATATCCAAACATTATCCTACATATCAAGTATTGTTCCACAAGAATTTTTAGTGCAAGGTATTCTAAAACTTATTGAATAATTTTCCTCTTAGGCTATTTAAGTTGCTCTCAAGATTCTGTTACAGGACCTCAGAATACCATGATAAATACACAGTACATATGTAAACTTTTTGTTTGTATCTCCTTTTATTTCCTTAGGCTAGATGTCTGGTACAATCACTAAGAATTAATTTTTTAGGGTCCTTGGTTCACAATGATAAAGTGATTTCTATAAAAGATGTACCACTTTGGGAGGCTGAGGGGAGCAGATCACCTGAGGTTGGGAGTTCAAGTCCAGCCTGACCAACATGGAGAAATCCTGTCTCTACTAAAAATACAAAATTAGCCAGGCGTGGTGGCACATGTCTGTAATCCCAGCTACTCAGGAGGCTGAGGCAGGAGAATCAGTTGAACCTGGGAGGCAGAGGTTGTGGTGAGCTGAGATCACGCCACTGCACTCTGGACTCAACAAGAGTAAAACTCTGTCTCAAAAAATAAATAAAAATAAAAGATGTACCAATGCACAATCCTATTAGCAGAGGCTCCAAGTCTTCCCGTATTCCCATCAATACTACATATTATTAATAGATATATTTAAAACAACAAATTATTATTCTAAACTTGTATTTTCCAAATAATATACTATTGGTCCAGAATATAAGATAAACAATTAAAAATGAAGAAAACATTATAAACCATAAATTAAATTGTGTGTAATGGAGGAAGAAAAAATCTTTTCTTTTAAAATGATTCCACGGAGTAACAGGGAATCCTGAGTTCACCTGAAGTTTGTTGGATATCTACCACAAACAGCACACAGTACTATGAGGCCTTCTGAAGAATGCCAAAGAAAAGGGTTGCCCTGAAGACCTTTCTATATAATTTCAGAAATAAGGAATCCCATACATTAAATAATTGGAGAATGATTCCCAGCTTATTCAAACAAATGTCCCAGACATTACCCAGTGAATCAGGACATGAAAGGTGTGAGATCTGTTGGAGAAGGACTTATAGATGAAGGGAATCAGGGGTCCATTACCTTTCCTGATTTAACACTGGTATGAAGAATCACAAGTCGGACTTCTAAAAAAGAATAATCAGGGTTTTACTGAAGCACAGCCTGACTGGAACAGTGTGTTGAAAAGGAGTTTGAAAAAACATTGAATAAATAAAATCATCCAAAAAAGGGCATGAGAATGCTTGACTTAGTAATGACTACTTGTAGCTACTATTTCAAATAATCCATAATCACAAATATTACTGCTATCACAAACTGCCTGCTTATCAGGCCAAGGGAGGTGGCTCACACCCGTAATCCCAGCACTTTAGGAGGCTGAGGCAGGTGGATTGCTTGAGCCCAAGAATTCAAGTCCAGCCTGGCCAACATGGCAAAAACCCTGTCTCCACTAAAAATACAAAAATGAGCTGGGCATAGTGGTGTGTGTCTGTAGTCCCAGCTACTTAGGTGGCTGAGGCATGAGAATCGCTCAAACCTGGAAGACAGAGGTTGTAGTGAGCCAAGATTGTGCTACAGCCCTCCACCCTGGGCAACAGAGTGAGACTCCATCTCAAAACAAAAACAAACCAAAACAAAACAGAACAGCTTTTCTGACTGCTTTTGTACATCTGCTTCAGAGAGCTAAAGTTAGCATATAGATGTGTTGCTTGCCAGCCAGGTCAGTTTCAGCAGTGTACCATTTTTGCTGTTTGGTAGTATATGCACAATTGTGTAAATATTTTCATGTACTTTATAAAAGTGAGTGAAAAGAGGAGAAAGAAAACAAGTGGACAAAAAGCTCAGTCTCTACTTTAATAGATGGCAATGACCAAGCATGTCCCAGCTGGGATGCTTTTGCCTTATCTGGATGCTCACTGTACTTAAGCTACCAATGCTGTGTTCAATTGTGTATTAAACTTCTGGATGGCCGGGCGTGCTGGCTCATGCCAGTAATCCCAGCACTTTAGTAATCCCAGTACTTTGAAAGGCTGAGGTGGGTGGATCACGAGGTCAGGAGCTCAAGACCAGCCTGTACAACACGATGAAACTCTGTCTCCACTAAAAAACCAAAAAATTTAGCTGGGCACAGTGGCAGGGGCCTGTAATCCCAGCTACTCGGGAGGCTGAGGCAGAATTGCTTGAATCTGGGAGGCAGGGGTTGCAGTGAGCTGAGACTGTGCCACTGTACTCCAGCTGAAGTGACAGAGCGAGACTTCGTCTCAGGAAGAAAAAAAAAAAAAAAAGAACTTCTGGAAATATGTCACCAGGGACTGAGAAAAAGAATTCTCTTTTATTACATCCTTGAATGTCAGTTTATTGTATTTATTTTTATTTTTGAGATGGAGTTTTGCTCTGTTGCCCAGGCTGCAGTGCAGTGGTGCAATCTTTGCTCACTGTAACCTCTGCCTTCCGGGTTCAAGCAATTCCCCTGCCTCAACCTCCCAAGAACTGGGATTATAGGTGCCTCCCACCACACCCTGCTTTTTTTTTTTTTTTTTTTTTCTGTGTAGGAGAAAGGGGGTTTTACTTCAGCTGGAATGCAGTGGCACAATCTCAGCTCACTGCAACCCCTGCCTCCCAGATTCAAGCAATTCTGCCTCAGCCTCCCGAGTAGCTGGGATTACAGGCCCCCGCCACTGTGCCCAGCTAAATTTTTTTTTTTTAGTAGAGATGGGGTTTCACCATGTTGACCAGGCTAGTCTTGAACTCCTGACCTCAGGTGATCCACCTACCTCAGCCTTCCAAAGTGCTGGCATGACAAGTGTGAGCCACCACACCTGGCCAAATGTCAGTTTCTTTATTTGTAAACTGAGGGTAATAACTGTATCTAACCTCAAAAGGTTGTTGTAAGAATTAAATGAGATAATACATGTATAACACTTGGAGTAAATAATTCCTGGCAGAAAGTAACTAATCAGGCCAGATATTATTTTATCACATTAAACTGATCATCTGTGCATCATCTCAGATTCCTTATCCCTAAAAGAAGGTTAATAGAAAAGCACATATTTCGGTCAGGTGCAGTGGCTCATGCCTGTAATCCCAGCACTTTGGGAGGCCAAGGCAGGTTATCACCTGAGGTCAGGAGATTGAGATCAGAATGGCCAACATGGTGAAACCCTGTCTCTACTAAAAATACAGAAATTGGTCAGGAATGGTGGTGGGCACCTATAATCCCAGCTACTTGGGAGGCTAAGGTAGGAGAATCACTTGAACCTGGGAGGTAGGAGTTGTAGTGAGCTGAGATTGTGCTATTGCACTCCAGCATGGGCGACAAGAGTGAGACTCTGTCTAAAAAAGAAAAGAAAAGAAAAGAAAAGAAAAGAAAAGAAAAGAAAAGAAAAGCAAAGCACATATTTCTTGATAACTGATAACTTGTTAATTTTTAATCAATTATTTTCTTATTTTTAGAGGTCCAAGAAAGGACAATGCTAAAACTTGAGTTTAAGCTCCTACTAATGTTTATCTTTAGTCTGTCTGATAAACAACTTGTTTAGACTACTCTATAAAGTTAGACATAAAAACAAAAATAAAAAATAAAATGGCAATGCATTTAAGAATATGGCTTAAACTGCTGTGGCTCCAGCTACTGCTTCAAGAATAACCACTAATGTAAATAGCTACCATTTATGGGGTGCTTTATGTTAATTATCTCATTTAATCTTCCTACCCTCTTGCTACCATTAATATCCCCAGTTAAGAGGAGAGAAAAACTCAAGCATGTCTCACATCTGTAATCCCAGCACTTTGGGAGACTGAGGTGGACATATCATTTGAGGTCAGGAGTTCAAGACCAGTCTGGCCAACATGGGGAAACCCCATCTCTACTAAAAATAAAAAAATTAGCTTGCTTGCGGTGGTGGGTGTCTGTAATCCCAGCTATTGGGGAGGTTGAGGCCGGAGAATCACTTGAAGCCAGGAGGCGGAGGCTGCAGTGAGCCAACATGGTGCCACTGCACTCTAGCCTGGGCAACAGTTTGAGACTCTGTCTCAAAAAAAAAAAAAAAAAAAAAAAAAAAAAAAAAACTCAGCCAGGCACGGTAATCCCAGCACTTTGGGAGGCCGAGGCAGGCAGATCATGAGGTCAGGAGTTTGAGACCAGTCTGGCCAACATAGTGAAACCCCCTCTCTACAAAAAATACACAAAATTAGCTGGGTGTGGTGGCAGGCACCTGTAATCCCAGCTACTCAGGAGGCTGACACAGGACAATCACATGAACCCAGCAGAGGTTGCAGTGAGCTGAGATTGCACCATTGTACTTCAGCCTGGGTGACAGTGCGAGACTGTCTCAAAAAAACAAAACAATTCAAGCATAAAGTGATAACTTGTGCAACATCACATGACTACTGAGTAGTGGGGTTAGGAACTGAATCCAGGTCCATGCCACAAAATCTATACTTTTGACCACTATCCTCTATTATCTCTAAATTAATGACCATCACAGTAGCCAAAAGCGCGAATTGCCAAATCAATCCCATTATTGTATTAATTCCTTTACTGTTCTGAAATATACCCCATATTGAAAGCAATAAAGTCTTCCATAGTCTAATTAATATCCACCCAACTCAGACTCATTAAGTATCCAGCAAATTTCTTCACAGTCATTTTGAATTCTGTTTCAAAATTCTATTTAGAAATTTTTAAATCTCAAGGCCTCATTCAAAAAAAAAAAAAAAGACGTTTCCAAATCTCCACAGCAAATATACTTTTGTAGTCAGAAAAAAGTCTTAAGAAATCCAACTCAGCTTCACTTTAAAAAGCACAAAAAAATTATTATAAATTGCGATTAATAACTTGCCTGTCACTCAAACCATATAAATATCCAAAAAATGATAATGGAGAGTAGGAGTGTGGATGAAAAAGAAAATAGACCAAAAGCTGGACATTTAGTTTAAGAACAAGGAATCTGGCCAGGCGCGGTGGCTCAAGCCTGTAATCCCAGCACTTTGGGAGGCCGAGGCGGGTGGATCACGAGGTCAAGAGATCGAGACCATCCTGGTCAACATGGTGACACCCCGTCTCTACTAAAAATATAAAAAAAAATTAGCTGGGCATGGTGGCGCGTGCCTGTAATCCCAGCTACTCAGGAGGCTGAGGCAGGAGAATTGCCTGAACCCAGGAGGCGGAGGTTGCGGTGAGCTGAGATTGGGCCGTTGCACTCCAGCCTGGGTAACAAGAGCGAAACTCCGTCTCAAAAAAAAAAAAGAACAAGGAATCTGACTTAGATCATAAATTCTATTCAAAAAAATCTGTCTGAAACACTTTACAGAGTAAAGGCAATACATGCAAAAAACATTTTCTTTTGAAATACGATACTACTGCTGTCTTTTAAGCTAATTTCAATTTATAGGCCATCCCCAGCTTATGATGGTTCAACTTATGATATTTGAACTTTACAACAGTGAGAAAGTGATATGCATTCAGTAGAAACCCTACTTCAAATTTTGAATTTTGATCTTTTCCCGAGCTAGCAATATGCCAGATGATCCTCTCTCACGATGCCAGGCAGCAGCAGTGGGCCTCAGCTCCCAGTCAGCCACACCATCAGCCACAGATCAGGATAAACAACCAATACGCTACAGGGGACGGTGCCGCCAGATGATTTTGTACAACTGTTGGCTAATTTAAGTGTTCTAAGCATGTTTATGGCAGACTAGGCTAAGCTATTTAAGCTATTAGGTTTGGTAGAGTAGGTGTATTAAATGCATTTCCATTTTATGGTATTTTCAACTTAGGGTGGGTTTCTCAGGACATAACCCCATCTTAATTGGAGGGGTATCTGTAGTCACTTGAGACAATATGAGTCAGAATTTCATTCTTTAAAAATTTTCTTTAAAGTGTCAAAACTTTTATTAACATAAACATTTCTAATTAAGTAAGCTTGTTAAGGGTAAATGTGTTGTGAACTGAGTCACAGCTACAGTTGGTGTTGTTGTTAAACATTCGATAATACTGTAGGTAATACTATAGCCTGTCCTTCATGTATATGGACATTTGTATACACAACATGTATTGAGGAATTTCTTTAAAAAAATCTTTTTTTTTTTTTGAGATGTTGTTTTGCTCTTGTTGCCCTGGCTGGGGTGCCATTGTGTGACCTTAGCTCACTGCAACCTCCGCCTCCTGGGTTCAAGCGATTCTTCTGCCTCAGCCTTCCAAGTACCTGGGATTACAGGCACCGGCCACTGCACTCGGCTAATTTTTTGTAATCCCAGCACTTTGGGAGGCCGAGGTGGGCAGGGTCACCTGAGATCAGGAGTTGGAGACCAGCCTAGCCAACATGGTGAAACCTCGTCTCTACTGAAAATACAAAAATTAGCAGGGCACAGCGTAATCCCAGTTACTAGGGAGGCTGAGGCAGGAGAATCACTTGAACCCAGCGGGCGGAGGTTGCAGTGAGCTGAGAACGCACCACTACACTCCAGCCTGGGTGACAGAGAGGCTCTGTCTCAAATAAAAAAAAGAAAGAAAGAAAAGAAATAAAGCTTTATTATTTTCCTGATCCTAGAATTATATGCACTTGTTTCAAGAATGTTACTCCAAGAAATTCAGCTACACATAAGCACATGGCTTTAAAAAAAAAAATCAAGAAAACAAAACATATCACTTCATCTCAGTAATAACACCACTTCTGAAATTAATATAATGATGCTTAAAGATCTAACTGAAGTGTTCTGCTTCTATTCTTGAGAAAAACAAAGGACACATGTTCTCTAAAATTTTCGTGGTGCTTTAAAAGTTCCTTTACTTTGAAACTCCACTTACTTCCAACATTGCTTTGGTTAAAAAAGAAAGAAAGAAAAGAAAAGAAATCCTACTATGCTTTCAGAAACTTAAAAAAAAAAAGAGTATCTCTGAGAGGTCAATGGTGGTACATGAAAAGGCAAAATGAATTTTCCATAAACAAGCCTGCTCCTCTAGTGCTGACATGGCACAAGCAAAGTAAGCCAGGATTCTAACTCTTAATGGAAATTAGGGTACAGACTTAAGCCAGAATATGTAATCTGGAAAAGTGTAAATCTGATTAATGCTTCTGTGGGGTGGGTGGAAGGCTCAATTGAAAGAGTGATGGGCCAGGCTCACGTCTGCAATCCCAGCACTTTTGGAGGCCGATGTGGGTGGATCACCTGAGGTCAGGAGTTGGAGACCAGCCTGACCAACATAGAGAAACCTCGTTCTCTACTAAAAATACAAAATTAGACGGGCGTGGTGGTGCATGCCTGTAATCCCAGCTCTTCGAGAGGCTGAGGCAGGAGAATCACTTGAACCTAGGAGGCGGAGGTTGCAGTGAGACAAGATCATGCCATTGCACTCCAGCCTGGGCAACAAGAGCCAAAACTCCATCTCAAAAAAAAAAAAAGAAAAGAAAATGATGAGTGATGGTAGTCACAATCTCTTAAGCATGAGGAACTCAAACATTTTCTTCCTTCTACATTCCTGTTAGTAAAGGAAACCCAGAAGCCAGGGAGTCATCCCAGGCACCATCTCACCTTCATCCTCTAGCTACCCCCAGCCTGTCAAGTCATCCGGTACATTCTACTTTTCCAGGAACTGTTCCTTTTGTGTTCACTCTCACTGCCTTAGTTTGAGATTGTCGTCTCTTACTTGTATCATTTTAATAGTTATAGTTAGAGGTCCCTGAGAGCTTATATCCTTCTGATTCATCCACTACACTGTTTCCAGAGTGATCATTCCAATAAAAATCTTATTTCATGTTACTCCCAGATATAAAGCACCAGTAGCTTTTCACTACAGAATCAAGTCCAGGCTTTTCATTATGAGTAAGAAGATTTCCACAGTCAAGCCCCTGCTTATCTTTCCAGCCTTGCTGCCGGTTATGCCAAACAGAAGCCCCACTGTGATCCCGTTTGCTATTCCCTGGCTTGGCCAGCTCACTATGTATTGTTTGAAATGCCCTCCCTATGTTAGTCTAGTGACCACCTAGTTATCTCTTAAGGTCTCACTTAATGAAGCCTCTCCTGTGGAATCAATCTTAGGCTCTTGCCTTTAGGGGAAATCTGTTTACAAGTAAACATGTTGTAGATTTGCTTCTGGCTTTTAAAAATAAGAGCATATAAAACAAAAGAGAGATCATCTCATTGACCACCAATAAGCATTGAGATAATGAAGTGAATATTTTTATTCTCATTTATTTAAGGGTTAAAGAAGGCAGAAACTCTAGGTCCAGGCCTATACTGTGGACTGCTCAGTGAAGGGCCAGGAATTCTGGTTTTAAGAAAATAAAATGCGGAAACCACAGAGCATCTATTGCTGAGTACACAGTCAGTCTCCATCATTTTAAGAGGAAACATTATGCTGTTTGCCTATTTTCTTTTGTGGGAGTGAGGAGACTCCACTCTAGGATTTGTGTGGTCAGATGTTTTTTCCCTCTATGAATCAACCTGGGAAGTAGTCTGAATATTCCTGTGTCCAGACATCAGGAGTTCCATTTTGTCAATAAGGTGAGATTCACATAATCATTGGCCTGGTGACCATCACTAAATGCTTATAGCTAAATTAAATCTAATAACTGTTAATGGTATTAAAATTAAAGTAGATATTTCTTGGGACCAAATAACTGTTTATCCAGAGTTTACTGATAGAGCAAGAAAATAATACTCATAGGCTTTCATAGGTCTATGCTTTCCTTCATTATTTTCATTTCTAATAATTTAAAATAATGGCTTTTCTTGCCCAATTTAAGGCAAAATTCTAAAATGCACTGTCAGTATTTCTCTATTTTTTCCCAAATCCTCTATAGTTGATTAAAGGTCTTGGAAACTCTTTATATATCTGATTTCTTTAATCACCAGAGATATAGCTTACTGCTTTGGTTACAGCTCTCACACATTTTCCATATTAGTGAGAAATGTGTTGCTACAGATTTCTCTACGAAGAATTCAAATGGTCCTACCTCAAACACTTATATGGACTAAACAGCTCACTTTTGCTTACCCATGGAAATCTTGCTCAAAAAACATATATTCGAAGTACTAAAATTGTTGAAAATTATTTTTGAGACACTGATAAACTAGATTTCATAATTAAAGGAATATTTCATACTGTGTGACTCTCACAATGGATGGGAATACGTTTTTTCAAACAAAATATGTAAACTGAGGCAGTTGCCAGAAGACCTCTTGGTAGCCTTCAAAAACTGTATTTTCTTCCCTAGACTTTTAAAGCTTTGGAGGCTGTTTTAAGTAGTACTGGAATTGTTGGATGTAAGGATGTTTTGATGAAAATACAGAATAAAAAATAATAAAGGAAATAGTACTGGCATTGTATAGAATTTCAGCTGATGTCTTACAACTTGTGCATGTAATGGAACTTACAACCAAAGAAAGCTGTCCAATTAACAAACCAATTGTTAAAAGATGCAAACGGTCTTAAAAACCACTTAAACATTGTTCTTAAAGACACACCCAAAATGACTGCTTTGTGTTCTGTGATATTAACCACTCCTAAAACTTTCTCAAGGCTAAGGCTGACTGGGAAGATAAAATCCTTATTAAACACAATGGGTGATATCTGAGTCATGATAAGATTTCAACTCAAGGTCAAAGGCAGAGAATCACCTTTCCTAACCCCATCTGCTAGGTACAATCCACCTCTGGTCTTCTCTTTACTGTAGATGCTCCTATCAGGCAGATGTTTATAAAGAATTTCTCCCAACATGTAAGCATTTTTTTTTCCATCAGTATAAGGACAGAGGATAAACCCTAGCTAAGACACCACTGTACTAAAAACAAAACAATTTGTAGCTATGACTCAAATCCTCTTTCTGCGGCATTAAGAAAATTAAAGGGTAGAAGTGGAAAACCTCTCATGAATTAGGAATAGTCCTGGAAAAAAGTCACAAGTCAAGAGACCACAAAGATCTCAGAGGTACTGACGGTGGAAATCTCAAATGGATCATAATAGTTACCACAAATAATTTATAAAAAGCAATGGCCAATATATTCCAATATTACCATTCTACAGGGATCCCATATTAAACATATTTAATCTTTCCAAGGCATTATGCTTTTTTAGGCATCCATATTCAATAAATAAACACTGAATGTTATTTTCTCATCTAACCTAATAATCCATATTGTTAAAAAAGATAATATTTTATCAAATATTTTCTAGATGTCATAACCTGCTTAATATTATATCCTCATGCCAGGATATCCCCTGGTGTTTCTACTGTGTTAATCATGTACAATCCTATAACTATCATCACGTTGTCTTAACTTAGTGTTATAAATCACTACAATTTTTATAACATTTTCATATATGAACAAAATAGCCTTTTCATTATTGATTAGGATCAGATGTGGTAAGTGACCTCAAATGTTTTCTTTAGAGGCTTAAAGACAAAGAACTCCAAACAAGTATCCAGCATCTTTTGAAAGGATACCTCAAGGTGTAGGAAAAAAATTATTTTTTCCCCCATGAGCAAGGGAAGGGGAGCTGGGTGGTAAGTAAGGACGCAAGGTTTTCAGGACTGTTAACAGTTGAGAGTATAGGTTCTTTCTACCTCTCCCGGATCCTCCCAGCCCTCCCCTATAACAATGAGGATGCTGGGGAGATAACTAGCAGACAGGATCTGACCATACCTTCATGGGTAGGCTCTGGGTCAGGTGTAAGTGAGATGTCATCCAGCTCCCGCAGGCAGAGCCATTCTCCATCCATGGACACTCGGAATTTGCAAAGGTAGATGGTCTCCATGGCAGCCTGTGTGATCTTGTCAGTGGTGGGGGTAGGCATATCGGTCGGAGGCGTCAGGGCAGACATGATGACTCAGCTGGGACCACAACACACACACAGACACACACACACAGACACACACACACACCCCACAAAAATAAATATAACCTCCTCTCCAAAAACACCCAATACAAAGCTCTGAAACAAAGCTTTCAAGAAAAAGGGTGGGGAAGGTTTAAAAAAAAAAAAAAAAAAGGAAAATATCTTATAGTTTAAGAACCAACTGCTCAAGATAAACAATTCTACACTATCTTATAGACAGTTCCTACCACATAGCAA